AGTGAATACCCATTTGTGTGATTCGCAGAGACCACGAAGAAGAAACAGACTTTTTGGTATCAAATTGCAGCAGCAGTAGGTCTGCTATAAGCAATGCAATAAACAAAGCTTACACCAGAAGAGCCAGAATCTCACTGATCCTACCGTAACTAAAAGGCAACGTAAACAGCGACTGCATCCAGAAACACTGATCATGAGCAAACAGCAGAAAAAAGGGGAGAGTAGGTAAGCCTGCCTCACCACCCACATCCAGCATGTCAAAAAAACATGGATTTTTGCCACCAAAGTGGAAATCATAAGCAAAGCTGAGACTGGTGAAAGAAAAAAACATCCCTAGATGCATTTTGGGAGAAGCCTTTAACTGATCTCTAGACGATTCAAAATATTTTTGCTTACTTATGCAAGGCTTCCCTGGCCTAGTTGTTTCATTTCACATGCCCAGTAGTGTTGTTGTGTACTTTTAAGTTGTTTCCAATTTGCGGACATCCTAAGGCAAACCAATCATGGGGTTTTCTTGGCAAGATCTGTTCACAGGTTTGCCACTGCCATCCTCAGAGGCTGAGAGACTGTGACTTGCCCCAGGTCACCTAGTGGGTTTACATGGCTGAGCCAGGATTTGAACTCTGGTCCCTAGAGTCACAGTCCAACGCCTAAATCACTATGCCATGCTGGCCCTTGCCCATACTGTTGATTTTGCATAAAAAGTTTGCTTAACTGCTGTTTTTTGTGGTGTAGAAACCTACACCTATTCTTCCCATGTTATTTCTGCCTCTTGTATCAAATTTTTCTGTTTAAAAAGTTATGAACAGTAGAAATCTGCATCATTAACTGAGGCATAGCTATATCATTTTTCATGAATGGTGAGACTAGCAACATCTGCTAGCCACAATGTCTATATGTTACCTTCAGTATCACAGGCAGTGAGTCAGTGTGGCGTAGTGGTTTGTGTGTTGGACACAACTTTGGAGACCAGGGTTGGATTCCCTGCTCAGCCATGAAACCCACTGGGTGACTTTGGGCAAGTCCCATGCTCTCAGCCTCACGGGAAGGCAATGGCAAACCTCCTCTGAACAAATCTTGCCAAAAAAATTCAATATTGGTTTTTGCCTTAGGGTCAACCATAAGTTGGAAATGATATGCAACAGCAACAATCATAGACAGTATGCTTCTGAACAATCATTCCTAAGGAACTGGAGTGCGAGGGTGCCACTAACCTCATGCTCTGTTTGTGAGGTTGCCACAGGCATTTAACTGACCCCTTGGGTGATGAAACACTGGACCAGAAAGGCCTTCGATCTGATCCAGAAGTATATTTCTTATGTTCTCACAACAACAGAAGAGCAATAGCAAGTGCAATAGCAAGAGCGACTACATATTTGAATGCTCTGATTTGTTAAACATAAAAAACAATGTGTCCCAATATGAAGAAAACCTGCATGTGGGGAAGCAGTCTGAGTCAGTGGCAGGCAAACTTCAGCAAAGTCACAAGTTTACTAACTAGAGAGAGGTGTAAAATAAATACTCAGGGCAAACCAGTTAAAGAACATGGTGTGGCTGAGCACATGACTCAAACAAAGAAATTGTTTGCAAGACCAGAACAAAGTTTGTAGTCCACTCAGACAAAAGCCCATTCCTGCTTCTCTTTCTTCAAGCCTGGTTCATTTCAGCAGCTTAATTTAAGAGGCGGGATACTTCATATTGCTGCTGTTCTTAAACAAATGGGAATCAGAAGTGCAGGTCTACTGAGATTCAATGAAAAGGTCTATCCATTGACCAATCTATCTTCTGTCTATGTGAAGAAAATATTAGGCAGACAAACAGTCCAAACATGCAACATACAGAAGTAGCAGCCTTCAGAGTGCAGTACCAGAGACCCCTTAATACAGAAAGTAAGAATTTTATAGTCTCTTGTAGGCTGGTGAGCTTAACCTACCATCAATAGAGTGAATGTTTCCCCTGTTTAGTAGCTAGTGGTTTTAACGAAAAACATGGAAACTATACTGACTCACCAGATATGGAAATATTCAACAAGAAAAACTAGGATGCAATTTAAACAAAGAAATTCAGGAGTGGCATCAGTTAGGAAACCTCCAGACCATCTGGCTCACTTTCTGAGTCAGGTATAATATGAAGTAATCACAGCAAAGAGGTATTTCATGTATGTCACCACAGGCAGGTTGACCGGAAGTCCTCCTTTACCAGGACATATCCTACATTTCAACCTTCTGTCCAGGAGGAATTTCCAGAATGTCCTCTATTCTGAGCATGGCTAAGAAGCCCACTGAGTAACAAGCACATTTGCTGTTCCCCTTCAAGAAATTTTGTCTACTTGACAGCCTGAACTTGCTGAAAATAGGGGGATATGATGCATCCTTCTAAGATCTTTTTTTGCAGAGGCAGTGGCAGACAAGGCTTGCCCCCAAAGCTGAGAGTGCGTTTGTTTCTCAGAGGAGAAAAGGACAGCAAAGGTTTTAGGCAATGGGCTGCTTGAGGACACAATGCATATGTTGAAAGGTTTTCTTCTTTAATTTCAGCACAACGGACAAACGAAAGGAATAATTTAAATGTTGATTCAGTCAAGGGTTTGCTGCTAGTAAAGTACAATTTTAAGCATTTGTCTTGCTCAGAATTCTGTAAGTATACTGTAATCCAACAAGGCAATTTAACATTAAGTCCACCAGAAAAGTACAGTTCAGTACATAATAAATGCAGTATACATAATGAAGCTGAAATGTATTTGTATTTATATTATTGTTTTTATCGTTTATTTTGTAACATGCTACATTTTTCTTGAATGTCCTACATTTTGCAGTTCCTTGTGGTTACCCTGATCATAGATCACCCTGATCACAGATTTTCACTGCAGACTTCAAGATCAGTGACCCCGCATCTTTTTCTCTTTACTTGGAATAGTCTATCTGTCATACTCTAGTAGCTTTCTTAAGAAGCAAGGATGGACAACTTCTAGCCCTCTAGTTGTTGCTGGGACTGCAGCTCCCATCATCCTTCAGCACTGGCCAAGGTTGATGTGAGCATTTCAAGCAGTTCAAGAGCATTTCAAGAAGCAAAAGTCGCCCATCCTCATTTAGAGCTACAGTGGTAAGGATGAAAATACCATGTGGTAAGTAAGAAGATAGGCATTGGTACAAATATGGTGGATGGTTCTGGAAAGTGTGCTTTGAGTTGTAAAGTGGTGCAACTAAGGCATTGCTCAGCTAAGGAAGAGGAGGAGGTGAGCCATACAAATTGTGTCTGGAGAGAAGTGCCAGTTTTAAATTAAAATCCTTTATTTGTCCCAAATACAATTCACAACTTATACATAGTGGGGGAGATGCTCAGTCTGTGCAAAATAAGGATGGCCTTCCTTTAAACTTACTAAGCTGTCCAGAATGGGTCTTTTTCTCCAAAGGGTGACTGGAGGTCAAGTCTTCTCAAATGTACAGTAACTCAAACCATTTTACAAAATGATAGGTTGAATACTTAACATACAACATAGTAAGGCAAAGTTGAATTCTGAAGATTTTTCTTTCAATAGAAGGAAGCATTTTTTTTCCATGAGTCATCTAGGGTCATTTTTATGCTTTGCTCATATATATATATTATATACCAATGCTGTCATTGCTGAACTGCCAAAGAGAAGTGATTTGCTTTACATATTGCACTGACAGACAGAAGTACACACTGTGTAACTGCTGAAAAAGGATATTGGTTTTAATAAGCCCATATAGCCCATTTTGAAAAGGGGGGAATGTTTCAATCTAGACTTTGGATACTCTTGTGCCAAAAAAGAAATAAGAAAAAAAACTGCAAGGGGTTTGGCTTATGTAAAACTAGATGAAACCAGGGAGGAAGAAAGCACTTGATGGTACACTTGGAAACATGCTTTCAAATAAAAACTGAAGAATGGAGCATTTTTAGAACATGAAAGCAAAGCAACATGAATCCAAATCAACACTAGGTTGTTCCAACTGCTTTCAAATAATGGTTCTTTACTATTCTAGCAATAATTTTGATTAAATAAAAATCAATCCAATTTACATTAATTTGTTTTTCTGTTTTTTAAAAAAGATCCCTCAGTCTCTATAAAGGAAAAAGTGCATCGGACTCCCTTTTAGCAGCTACTCATGTTCTTTTCTTTTAAAAAAGCTAGCTTATAATTCTTGCTAGAAGAGAAGGGCTTTGTAAGACCTCACATGGGAGAAGTATCCAAATTATAAATGAAATAATTTATTATTATCAAATCCAGAATTTAAATAAAAGCCATTCTTGCAAAGACAAAGAAATCAAGAAAAGAAAAGCATGCACTCAAAAATTAGCAGTGGAGACAAATATACGTATCTATACAGGCACTGGCAGACGCAATTTAATTGTTACCGTTACTCGATGTAACACACACCCCACCCTACAATACATTTTTTCATCCACTAATCACTGAGGTACCAATATTTAAGAATGGAAAGTTCAATATTGAAAAATAAAACCTAAAGTTGAAGCTGTTTTCATTTTCCCCAGAAAAAAAACTATGGTGAATTTTGTATGAAATGTTAGTATACTTATAGAATTTTACAATCTACATTGGCTTTTCTCTCTCTCTCTCTCGAACCAAAAGAAAGTTGTGTTCCACATACACAGGTTCTTAGATAAAATGTTCACCCTTTATATAACAGGAGTCAGTAGACTTGCAAATGAAAAGATAGTATCTTGGCTACCTACTGGCACATCTTCTTGGTTACCAAGAGGATCTGAAGTCTGAAACCTGTCGTAAATTCAGAACAAGATGCGCCATGCCACACAGTGCAACGATTTAGGTGCGACAGTCGATGAGACACTCACAGAGAAGAGCTGCATGGAAGTTAAGTCCACTTGCAAAGCAATTCCACATAAATTGCATTGCATGCAAAGGACGCCGCTGCCATGTTGGCTGGGAAGAAGGGTCCTCCTCTTAACGCAGCCACAGTTTAAGACGCAGTGCATCAACTCCATTTAAATAGTATCTGAACAGCCTCTTGTCTCGTACAAAGCCAAGGTTTTCATAAAGTTTCAATGCAGACTTGTTTGTGATCTCTGTTTCCAAGACAACCTATAAAAGAAGATAGATTTTTGAAAAACAGTTGCATTCCTTTTGGACTTTTACAGAGAACAAAATCCAAGCTAGTTGGCAAGAACTTGTGAAGTCATCAAAATGATTCATACTGAAGCAACAACCAACTTTAATAACCAACTTCGTTGTGAAGGACAGATGATATTACAGTTCAGCTCCCATTCTTTGCAAACAAAATGTTTTGTCAGGGAAGGACACTAAGGGGCTAAGCAGATGGCGCAAAGCGCTGTCTTCAGAGCAAGGAAGGGGAGGGGCAGCCACACGCTGGGCACCCCAACCCCTTCCCGAAAACGTCCTCAGAGCAGCCGGCCCTCAGTACAGCCGGCGCTCCAAGGATGCTTTTCTGCTGCAGTGTCCGCACGCGCTGCAGCGGAAAAGCCGCCGAAGGTGCGCTGGCAGCCTTTTGCGGCGCGCCTTCGGCGATTTGTGGAAGGAGTGCTATTTCAGCGCTCCTTCCAGGGGCGGCGCAGCTTCCTGGGGCGGCCCCGTGCCACCCATCTGCTTCCCCCCTAAGGTGGTCAGGCCTGAGGTGGGGGGAAGCATACTTCAACCCACTTCTTGTTCTAGATGCACCAGGTCACCAGAACTATTGGTAACTCAACAGAAGCTCCATCCCCATAGTTTAAACCACGTCCCCAGGGAGAGCACATGGCCAAAGTCAAACAAAAGCCCCCCAAAACCTTTAAGAGAACAACACAAAGAGTCAAGGATGATCCCAAAACAAAGCTCACCTTCTTCTCTCTCCTCAGAGACTGAACTCCAAGGACTGAGGATGCAGTTATATAGAGCTAGTGGCTGCTAATGCTGCCCCAAAGTAAGCAGTTGATTCAGTAGAAATCCCAACCCCTTAGACCAGGGGTAGGCAACCTTTCCCCTTTAAGGGCCGAGGAACTT